AAAATTATAAAAGATCTCCTTTAAGATCAAACAATTTCATCAAATTGAGTATGATTGTATGTGTGATAACATCTATTATACCAAGACTATCAATGAACTCAATTATTGCAATTGCTCACGACACCTTTTGTTAAGTAATATTGATGAAGCTATCGTGAAGGCTATGAACTTAAAAATGAAGTGCAATTTGAAGAATTAACTAAAATTATTTTATCTAAATGAAAAAAGTATGAAAAGTATATCGTGTGATATAAAACAAGGAAAATATATAATTCAAGTATAAGGATATAATAATTTTTAAGTAGGATAGAAGGGTAAAATAGAAAATATAAAGATGTCGTGGAGAATTCTTTAGAAAAAGTAAACTTGAAGGACTTTTTTGAAATATTTGAAACGTTAAAAGGATATAATAATATTTAATATGTATTTTTGTAATAAACCTGCTCTTCTTTACGCAGATTTATTTCTCTTCCAAGTCCCTGTGTTGATTACAACACGACAAAATGCGCACACTAAGCCTCAAGAACCCTCAACCTCTCCTCTCTTGTTTTCCCAAGAAAAAATATCAATTTCCATGAAAGCTCTGGTTCTTACCGGATCTCCATCTCCATCTAGCTTTCTCTCCGCAAAATCAATTCTTTTGTCGCCTCTCTTTTCTCTGTCCACAAATTTTCTTGGATCCCCAAATTTACCGAAACCCTTCTTCCCTATCAGGTTCTCAGCTGTTCCTATGACTACTTGTGTACAGTCCTCAAGAACAGAGACTCCTCAGACAAATCCAAACAGAACCCAAGTGGAAGATGATGCGTTTAATGATTATGTAAGACGCTGCAGACCCATGTTTTCTGATCTTGATTCCTGCGTGCCCAGTTCAGAAGAAAAGTTAAATACTCTCCTCACGCGTACTCTTTTGGATGAAATTGGTGGTGAAGAAGATGAGCAAGAAGATAATTTATGGCAGCAGATAAAAGTTGAGGCAAGATCAGATATTGATCAAGAACCCATATTGTATAACTATTATTTCAGTTCAATCTTGTCGCATGATTCTATGGAAAGTGCTTTGGCTAATCATCTTTCCATGAAGTTGAGTGATTCTAATTTGCCCTATGGTACACTGTATGATCTTTTTGGAGGTTTGCTCATCCAGGATCAAGAAATCATGATTGCTGCTAAAGATGATTTGAGAGCTGTTAAAGAAAGGGACCCTGCTTGTATAAGTTATGTTCACTGTTTCTTGAATTTCAAAGGGTTTTTGGCTTGCCAGGCTCATAGACTTGCCCATAAGTTATGGTCACAAGGGAGAAAAATTCTTGCCATTTTGATACAAAACAGAGTATCTGAAGTTTTTGCAGTGGATATTCATCCTGGGGCCAAAATTGGAAGGGGAATTTTGCTTGATCATGCTACAGGAGTTGTAATTGGAGAAACAGCTGTTATTGGAAATAATGTGTCAATTTTGCATAATGTGACTTTGGGTGGCACTGGAAAAGTTTCTGGGGACAGACATCCAAAAATTGGTGATGGGGTTTTGATTGGGGCAGGCACGTGTGTACTGGGAAACGTTAGAATTGAAGATGGAGCCAAAATTGGTGCGGGTTCTGTGGTGTTGAAACAGGTTCCTGCTAGAACTACTGCTGTAGGAAATCCAGCTAAACTGATTGGTGGGAAAGAGAATCCAATTAAGCTGGATAAAATTCCCAGTTTGACTATGGATCATACATCAGATATATCCAAGTGGTCTGATTACGTTATTTAGGGCAATCATTTTTTTCTATTTCTGTAGGACTTTGGGGCTTTTCTCGTGCTTTCAAGAGAGAGCCTAAGTTCTCCTATTAGCATAGAGAAATTCTTGTCTTGGTGTTATGTATCATGTGTCGTAGTTGCCTTTAAATTCTGTGTTCTATTGGTACATAATCTGTGACAAAATCGCCAAGACGGCCTTGTACTAGATTTTTGAAGTAATCAATACTGTTTGCAATTAGATCTCGTTAGAGTATGTTAGTTTGACTAATAAAAATGTTCACGTAACAGTCCTTCGATAACTTAGTTGACAAATAACTAAAATGTCAGGTCCAAGTTTATGCTTCTGAAGTTGAAACCAGATTCAAAGCCAATACTATTAGTCTCCGTTTGATGCCCCAGAAGCAGTTATCAGGCCTCGGGCCCTTGCAGCCTGCAGGAAAGGTTATGTCCTGTGGTTGCGCAGACATAAACTTTGCTCCTTGCTGTGAATACTGGAGAAACGTGGGGAAATTATGCATTTCGGAACTTCTAGGTACAGAACGTTATTATCAGCAAGGGAAGAAGAGATTTCCGATCTTACCAGATGAAAGCATCTAATTCAAGATCAACAATCAATTTTACAGAGAAAATTCACTCTTTTATGAGCTGTTAAAACAAAGGGTGCCTTTCAGAAAGAAAATCAAGAAACGTGAAACATTAATATCAGTAATCAAAGAAGCCAATAAATTGGCAGCAGCTTCAACATTGCGTCGTGTATCCTTCCTTTCTGATAGGTACGATGAAACCAAAAACTTAGCGTTTGCATAAAAAAACAGACTGGATAATCTAGGAACAGGAAGTAGGCAATGCTGCAATGATAGATGAGAGCAAAAAACACGAAGATCTTGCTCAGCATAGTTGTGATGCTATCGACTTGAAATGTGGATAATTCAACGAGTTTTATTCTGGAAGTACATGACATACTCAAAATCAAAATTAGTTGCATCTGTTAATTTGTAAATATGCAAGAATTTTGCATCGTGATTACAGTGTAATGGCATGGGAATGCCATATTATTTGTCACCTGCACCACCTTCACCCAACTTTTCCGCTAAAAGCACATGCCATCAGCAAGACCATAATATGCATCTAGGATTGTTACCTTGGCAGGGTTTAGACATCATCATACCCATAAAAGGTTAGAACTCTTTCGACTATTCTTTGGCCATGGTGGCCATGGGACACCCAAGATTTGACCTGAGCGCCAGATGCCTACCGGGGAGAGAGACTCGTTGTTCAGGTTTAATGAATATGCGGCACATCTTATGTTCAGATGTTTGTGACATGAATTAAACTTCTTTGTAAGAAAGAAATTGACACCCTTGTTGACCTACACTCACGTGGGAGTGAGATCCATGCGAATAAAAAAAGCCAAAAAAATCCCCCCTACTGTGAGATGTCTGTCAGGGAGGGCTTAAAGCCCTCCCTGGCAGCATAGCGGAATTGTCGTGGAACTCGATCTCATGCTGTACTCAGCTACAAGCTTCGGAAATGATGACGACTTGTCCTCCAGCAAGTTTTCTGGAAAATCATATTCCTTAACAAATCCTGCATCACGGGGGGAAGAAGTTTGAATACCAACAAGTTACTAATGAACCTAGACATTACAGAATTGTAATGAGGTCCTATACTGTGATGTAATAGTAGAACACAATTATTGTCGAGCACAGATGTTATCCTATGTGCAATTGTTATAACCGTGGAATCAGAGAAGTGCTGCCTAAAGGTCTATTGAATCAGATTTTTGGTTTCTGTATCTACTGATGTTGTGGCCTCATCAAACACCGGAACCTTGCTTTTCTTAAGTAGTTCAAATCCAAGACAAACGAGCTGCCTTTGACCGACACTGCAGTTATCACCATTCTCCGGAGCTTAATTTATTGGAGAACCAAGAAATCAACAAGACATTGTAATAATACACTGGTGAGAAAAATTGCAAAGGATTAATTAGTTGAGAAGAAAACCTGAAGGATCAAGCTCGCTTTCCGGAGATGTACATAGTATAAAGGAATGAAGATTTCTGTAGTATCAATGAATAATTTCCCACACTTTATTGATGTAATAGGACCAGACTTACATACACAGCCAGGAGAACTATTTATGGGCAGTTTACATCAATTTAGCTACAACTATGCAGTGATTACAGATTTGTAGCAGTTACGGAAATATACAAGGTTGATTTGCTTGATTGTAGATCACTTGATTGTAGGCTAAATGTGTTCTGTTCAATCTTGGCCAAAAGTAACATTCCATAATTATATGGAATAATCCATTTGTACAATGATTAGGAGATTGTAACTTTTACAATCTCTTACGTTATGGTAGGGTCCATTAATTAATTAACTTTTACAATTTCTCACATTATGGTGGGGTGCACTAATTAAAAACCCTAATATGAGAGATTGTAAAAGTTACAATCTCCTAATCATTGTACACATAGCATTGTTGTAATAATATTTTGGCATTACTCAGTTTATTATGGCATAACTATGCACCGCTTTGATTTTGGTGTCGGGTTTAGTATATCAGGTCAATATCATACACCAACTCCATTGTTTGAAAAAAATGGATTTTTGAATAATATTTTTTTAAGAATGTGTGGTTAAAAAGTAAGAATTTTTTTTGAGTATATGTATAATATTATTTTATTGAGAGAATGTATGATTGATAAGATGAGAGAGAAAAATGAATTAAAATTTAATATTTACTGGTTAAATTTTAATTCAGGTCAAAAGAGATTAGGGGTCTGTTCGGTATAGCTTAAAATTCAATTAAAATTAAAAATATGGCCGTTATTGGGTCCCACTCGTCTAATAAAAGTCAACAATAACGGCTAATTTTTCAATTTTAATCCAATTTTAATTTCTACCGAACACGTCCTAGATCATTAATGATTATTATCTCATTACATATAATTATATGATTTTTTTTGTTAATTATTGAAATTACCAGGTAAATTGTCAGTTGGAGGAAATAGACAAGCACCACAAGAATTATATATTTCTTATTGAAAATTACCTAGTAAATTGAATGCCACGCAAGATCCCACTCCGTTTCGGCATGGCCTCTCTCGCATGTGCCCACTGAAGTGACGAGCTCATGCCCTTAGATGCTTCGTCCGAAGTGTTACTATTTGTTTTCTATTGCAGTACAATTTCGAGGCAATTGGCAAAATGCCATCTTCTACGAAGAGCCTCAGCCACAAGTATCACCTCGGCTAAGTCACAATACACTTGATCAACCGATTGATGTGACAACTCTACAATAGCATCGATCTTCAAAATATTTTAGATAACTTTTCGACCTACGCAAGTTACGGTAGCTGCAGGTCTATGATATCTGGGATTGACACAATTGATAAGATATGGCTTGATGACTGGATCGTTAAAATGAGGTCACTTGTCAAAAATATGAGAAATTACTCCCCAAGTATAAATATTCACACACATAGTGGTTAGTTATTTCACATATTAATGTGATGGTTTTTTATTGCCTCATTTATCAAATCATTAACCACTATATATATATATATGCTACATGTGACGACTATGATAATGAATAACTACAAATAGCATTACTCGTCAAAATTTAGGTTGGCCAAGTAATCATTAATTCTGTTAATTTTATTTCTTCTGTATTTTGTTCTTTAATGATTCAATGACCACTGCTATAAAAGGTAAATATTCATGTTCATTTTCAATTATGTCTAGTCCAACAGTCAACAAATCTCAACTTCAATCCCATCCATGCCTACGTTACCGTACACGTAGACACTGACGTTAGATTGCATGTGATTGTAACTCTGAGGAAGTGTGATGGTTGCAAGCTCTTCGATGATCAAGTCTATACGACAATGAAGATATTTGGGCATGGACGAGACACAATGGACGAAACAAGTGGTCCTGGGTGTGACGTTTTCTATTGTTGCTTATTATAGCGTAGATTCAGTATCTAAGTAGGTATAGAGGGATAGTGACAGGTGCATATATATCCCTTAAACATCTGATATAAATTATAATTTAAAAATCTCTTGAAGATTGCTGTTGATTCTTGTTAGAGTAGTGTCTTAGCAGGCATAGTGACCGGCGCATTGAATACGTTAAAGGAAGGAAGGAAGAAAGAACTACATGGTACTTGTTTGAATCCAGTAGATAATTTGAGATTTTCTTTCCCGTTTAACTATCTTTTTTGTCGGCCATGACACTTTGATACATTAGTTCATGTACTCATATGACATATGACGGAGGTAGTTCAAAGTTACGTTCACAACAATAATCTCGTCTAGAATTAAATTGTTAAAGAGTTCGTACAGATTTATTTATATACAAGCAGTGAGCGTACACACCTGAATCACATAATCTACGTTGTGGCAACAGCAACCCAATTTGCTGCATAGACTATAGGAACTGAGAGTGCTGCAATTACAATACAAAAGCACCATTCTTTGGAGTTTAACTTTCCCCAGTGAGAAATAGTGGCCATGATCTCAACAAATCCCATCTCAAGAACTCCAATGATCCCCACAACACCAAGAATTAATAGCCTTTTTCCATACGCGAACAACTCCTCAACCAGACTAATTTTTTACTTGAACATCATCATGGCTGTGATCAAACCGAAAACTTGACAGAAGACATAACAGCCGTTGGTCATGGATTTCATGACTGTCTCATCGGCTTCGTGAAAAAAATTAGACCCCTTCAATTGTACGATCATTAAAATCGTGATCTGGAACAAGGATTGAACTGCTATGTTTCTCCACATTGTCCTGGTTATGATCGGATCATCCACATCCTGAACACCGGATTCTCCCCGCAGTTCTACGAATCTTATAGCCAAAGCTAGGGCGCCAAGAACATCCATAATAAGATTTATCCACAGGACTTGAAATGGCAAAAGTTGCACCTCTCTCCTAGCTATTACAAAGACGAAGTTGACAGTGAAGGCAGTAATATTGAGAGTCAATTGTAATTGCATGAACTTTTTAACGCTTTCGTGTATGCACCTTCCCAATTTTATGATGGTGAAGATTGGCGAAACATTCTTGTTCAAGACAACAATATCTGCATCTTCGGCACCACTCAGGTTGCCCATGAAAATCCCAACATCAGCTTCTATTAGAGAAGGACAATCTCTAGTACACAAACCAGTGAGTGCTACAATCTTATTTTTCTCTTTTAGGCACTGCACAAACTGTAGTCTGTCAGTAGGAGAGGTATTGGCAATCACATGGATGTTCTCTATTGTCTTCAGCCGTTCTTCTCTGTCTTTCTTGCGGAAATCAGATGCTTCAGTTATAGCTCCTTCAATATCTTCTTCAGGCCTTAAAATTCCAGAATAAAGGGCCATGATTCTTGCTGTGGTTATGTCAGTATCAACGACTAACTTGAAAGCAACACCAGCAGCTCGACAATCTTGAATTGCTTGTCTCATCTTAGGTGCATATGGATTCTTCAAGCTCACAAGGGCTAAAAAGATTAACCCATGTTCCAAAGGTTTTAGGGTTTCCTCATTATCATCAGCATCATCTTCTTCAATCTCACCTTTCTCTTCTTCCTGGTTTATTTGTTTATAAGCAAAAGCCAGGACCTGGAGACAATTGGATGCAATTTGCTGAAATTCTCTATTCAACAAATCCTTTTTATCTTCATCTAGGATATGCATTGTTCCATCACCCTCACAATAATGAGAGCACATGGATAGCATTTTTTCAAATTCTCCATTCCAATGAATGTGCAGAACTCTGCCTGCTTCTTTATGTTTATTTAGCACCAAACCACAAGAATTCCTGTTGAGATCAGGAGATTTAATATCAAGGATGGTACAAGAATTATTGAATTCAACCAAATCAATACCAAGCACCTGGTGAGCCCAATAGCAAAGAGCATTTCCTTGGCCATTGCAAGAAGCATATGCACAAACTCCAACTTGCAAAATTTTAAGGACTTCTCGAGCTACTTCTGTAGAGACATCCTTAATACAATCGAAACCAATCCACAAATCGGCCATTTTTGAATGGTGCAAGGCGAGATCATTGGTTGTGCCAGTGCAGATTGTGGTGACTAAGCCGATTGTAGCACAAGATGGAAGTCTTTGAACTATTGCCCCGTGGGACTTCATTTTATTCGATGCATAAACAAAAGAGACGAAAATGCCTAATGGCAAACCGTCTCTCAAAGCAAAGAGTAAGATGCTAAGAACAGCAACCAATCCACTCGCTTTGGTGCCTTGCTTCTTCATCAGCTTTGCGGATTCATTCATCAAATCCTCTACTGTGTTCTTCACACCCTTTGGATCTGGGTTGTAACTGTCATCACATACATACAGGAAACATCGGAAAAGCTGGACTACAAGAATGAATAACGAAAGACTCAGCCAAATTTTCTCCAGACGGGAGTTGGTATTATCAATAGAGATTTGCAGTTTGGATTCTTGGTTATCATTTTTCTGAGTACTGCTCAGTGATCTCATTAGCCGACTTCTTTCCGTGTTCTTGCCAACTGATAGCAGTTCGTAAACCGTCAACGGAAGGAACACTTTGGCACCAGTAAAAAGAGAAGGATTTTTGTAATAATTGGAATAGCCGTGAAAAAAATTATCATCGAGCTTAAATAAAGAGTTGCCTTCAATGAATAATCCATCAGCAGGGACCTGATTACCAGCCTGTAAGCACACAATATCACCGACCACAACTTCAGAATCGGAAATTTTAGGCATTTTTCCATGTCGTACAACAAAAACGTGTTTTTTATTCTTTGACAATCTCCTTTGTCTCATTCTGGACTTGATCAATCTACAGATAAGACCAAAATAGAGGACAAAGAAGATGGCTGAAACTAATATTACTCCATCCCTAAGCCCTTCAACGGGCCCGTTTCTCTTGATTCCGATTACAGCAGACAGTACAGCACAACACAAAAGAAGGATAATTGTAGTATCTTTAAAACCTTGCAAAGCCAACCGAAAGAAGCCATCTACCACCACGGGACACGTCTGCTCCATGTATAAGTTGGGGCCAAATGCTTTGTGGCGGCGGTAAAGATCTCCGGCATCCCCTCTTATTCCTGTTTCTGCATTAGTTTCTAATGCAGCCATTAATCCTGGCATGCCACCAAATGGCTGAAGAGAGTCGCTGTCATTCACTTGCACTACTTTTGCTAGGCATTCCTGGTTAACTCTGAACATGGGGTCTACTGCCGGATTTCCACAGTTGAGCATTGAATCCGCCATGAGGCAAGAAATATTTGTTTATAAACAACTATTTTTTATTTTTATTTTTATTTTGGTTCAGTTTACAAAAATATTTAGGGTTTATAGTTTTAGCTAAAGAGAAGGTTCAGTTACACTCAAGAAGTCATAGGGGTGTATGTTTATGTTCTTTTGTTTGAATGCCTTGAAGAAATCTGATATCAATGGCAAATGAAGTTTGGGAAAATGAAAGAAAAAAGCTGGGAAGTTCGTTGGAATTTTGCTAGGAATTTCCCTTCATTGATTGTAATGAATTATTTTCTCTTTGATTCATTTTATGCAATTCATCCAGTTGATTAATACCAAAGTTTAATTTTTTAAATGAATGAATTAATATTATATTAGAGAATCCAAAGATTCGTGTCACACCCTTTGATCAAAAAAATAATTTTTTTACATGTTAACAGTCATATCGAAAATAATAATGTTATTTTTTTTATCATAATAATGAAATATCGTTGATGTGATAATATATGTAGAATAATGAGATATGATAGTTTAATTTGGAATAATGAGATATGGCGATTCAATTTTCATGAAGGAGGGGATTAAAATGTCACATCTCATTGTTACACCTAAATTGTCAGATTATCGATATTTCATTATTATAATGATAAATAACATTATTCGATTGGAAACCAATTTATAATGTTTTCTTCGGCCTTTTTAAGTGATATGCTTAAGATCGATGTAATACTTAACAAAAATTGTTAATGGAATTCAACTCGTGTTAGGTACAGACTTTAAAAAACTAATTTTCAACACATTTTACATCAAAATAATTTTCAATGCGAATTCATAACTTTTTCATATTTTCTAATTACAAATTTATCAGGAAAAAAAAGGATTACTAATTTAAATGTTAAAGAAACTTGAAAGAGGATTATATTATACAAAAGTTTCAATCAATTGAAATTAAGAGTAAGACGATGACATCTCTCATTACCTAAATTTGTTGTATTTTCATGTTGAAAATCTTTTGAAAATCTTCTTGGAGAAATTACTCAGATATTTCATATAATATAGCCTCAAATGTCTTAGGCCTTTTAATCTTAACGCGGCTGCATATGATGGTCAAAAGCGAATGTCGTTTTCCTTTGGAGAACGACCAACTACGGTCCAAGATTCTTTTTCCATTTGGGAAATTGAAACAAAATTATCTGTGGACAGTGGAAGATTATGTTTTATTATATAGTCACGTTTGATGGGACCTCAGATAGTTCAAAGGGCTAAACAGAGGGTTCTCCAAAATGGTTGATTTTCTTGTCAGAAATTTAATCTTTTGAACAAAACATTGTTATTTTAGAATTAGTGGTTACTGAATTTTTGAAAAACAATGATCATCCCTAACCTTTCATTTCATCTACTTATGTTAGTTTGACAGAGAATCTGATGAGGTAGTCTTGTTGGTAAATAACTACGTCTAACGTCGTTAGTTGTACT